AGCCTTTAGTCGAACCGAACCGTCACGTCGCGTCGCGTTACGTCAGTCGCCTTTAATATGTACATTAATTTTCACTGCATCTACGTAATAGCAGCCGCGGATATTAGTGTTTCTCGACTAGTAACGCGCACTACGCGCGAATCCGATATTAAATAGAATGTAACAGTCTGAATGCACGTCCTCTCTAAATTACGAGTACCCGCGAGTACCTAATGCCTCATATTTATTGGCAGCTCGAAATATCGTCTACATTCCCTAAAGAGACTCCTGGCAAATCTACGTCCGATAATCGGAGGCCCGAAGAACAGAGGGAAATCTGTTACCAACCCGTCGACTCCGCGAAAAAAATCACTCGATATCCTTAAAGATGCTGTCGGTATCCCGTTTCGAACACGGGTACACAGCCCAGTCTGCCCAGTTTCTTTTCATACGTCCGTTAAGTGCTTCCACTCGACGTGTAACGTGTAACGTGCAACGTGTACGTGTAACACGAAACTGCGTTTCGCCTCGAATTTACTGGTGAGAACGCCCACGGTGAGATTGGAGGACACAGGAGAGGACACGATCGGCCAGAAAGAAAACGAAACAAGAGAAAAGAAAAGACGCGAAAGCGATCGGTATCTTGGCATTCTTGGCCGCGAAACTACAAATACAAATGCAACCTTTCCTCGCGGGAACGAACGTATAGATACATCAGGATTCTCAAAACCAAACACGTTACAATAAAAAAAATGTTGTCACAGTGAATTATCTTGACCATTAATAAGCAAACAAGATACGAGTCAATTTTTTTCAGAGAAGATCAAATAAATTTAAGTGTCGACGCTGAAGCGCGCCACGCGCTAGACAAACAGATGTTATTATATTTCGGACTTTAGACATACGTCGCTTATTAAACTTGGGCGATTATACGATGCACGTATAGAGTGTCGTCGTATAAGCCAATAATATTGAGAAATATTGTCGACAGGTGCTATTAAATTATTTCAGATAGCATGGAATTTGTGACCTAAGCCCTTTTAAGCGAGCGTATAAACAATGCACCCACCCATGCAACGCTTGCCATCAGTAAGCAAGTTATACGAATAAATCAATATCGGGAGGCACATGCTAGAAAGGCCAATATCATTTTGCGCGGCCCGACGCAACGCGCGCGAGAGAGGGAGAGAGGGGTGGAAGGGAGGGAGGGAAGGGGGGAGGGAGGGAGGGAGGGAGAGAGAGAGAGAGAGAGAAAGAGAGAGAAGGGTAAATGTCCCCTATATCTAAACTCTAAACCTACGACATTTCCTGCCGCAGAACGTAATATAATAATGGTGACGCGCGTGTAAGATTGATGCGACCGAATTGATAATCCCGAGAATCGAAAAATGTCAAGGGTGACTCCCACGATTTTTAGGAATTGTATTGTACGTCTCGACATGACGATGAGAACGGAAGAGACGTAAGTACGTGCCTCTTTGTAAATCAATATTCTGAATTATTAGATTATTACAGACATTTCGAAACGAATAACCCAGACGAAAGACGTTCCATGAAAGAAGGACCGGTACTTATGTCCTTTTAATAGCATCAACGGCTCGTAAGATTCCTTTAAGTCTTATAACGTTAAGGAATCAATCAAGGTAACAAATTTATAATACCAAAAGATTGCGACGCGATCAGCTTACGTCGTCGTCTTAATGTCTTAAAAATAAAGAAGAATTAATTCCTCCAGACTCTCCAGAGCGTTGGCTCGCTCTGCCCGTACTTGGAGTGTCCGCTTGTTACTCGGGTACTTTTCCTTCGTACAAAGGAGAAGGAATATCATATAAGCTGGATCCAAGCTCTAGTTCCTTTTATGGATTTAAGGCTTTAAGGTATCGAAAGAGACTCAAGGAGCTCCTCTCGCGAAAACTTTCGACATCTCCCCGAAGTCTCGTATAAACTTACGTACTTACACACGTCGCGTTGGCGCGGCGCGGCGGCGTCGTCACTCCCGCTGCCCGCGGGCCAACCAAATTTTAGTCAACTTGTACACGAGTTACTTTTTACGCGCGTTATCCTCGTTATTCCCCGTGCTTTTCATGCTATTCCTGCGCGCGTGTACGTGCAAAGCTCTTTAAATCTCCATCTCTCGTTACGCGGATCGCGTGATGCCGGGCACAATAGTTTTCTATATGACATTTCGCTATGGCATTCGTGCGAAATGTACCCGAGTTCGCCCGCACGAGCAACATTATCCCATGCGAAAACGAACACGAAGGTAGTAGGGTTAATAAAAAAAAAAAAAAAAAAAAAAAAAAATTGGTAAACGATGAATTCAACGACGTTTCTCTCCTCACAATCAACTAAACGCACAAGCGAGATGCATAACACTTTGTTTCGTTGTCCATGTAGGTGCTCGCGCGTACTCGTGTTTATGGATAAAACACCGATTTACCGATTGTTAAACGCCGGCAACGGATAATCGAGCACGTTCCATACTCGATTACACTTTACTCGGAGTAATATAATATGCTCCATGTAAATAACAAATATTGATATTCTTTTCGGTGCAATCTCGTGACTGTAAACTCGTAATCAATATCCGTCAGATTCTTATTTGTATTATAGTTGCGTGCAATCCTCGCGATCAATATAATCTATTATAATTAAGTGAATGGTTATGTGCTTAATTTATTAGGCACTCCTCCCTACTGTGACGGTGGTAGACATATATAACATACAATATATATATATGTATGTGTGTGTGTGCGCGCATAATTCCAAGTTTTTGATAAGTAAACTCGCGGGAAAGAAAAGAGCGGCGGGATGCCTTCGATAAAAGTTTTGATAGACGCGAGCTTGTTCTCCGAATTAATCTGAAGGGAATATAAGATATTTTGGTCGATACTCCGCTGGTACTAATTAAATCGGATCAAAATCGCGATACTTATCCTTAATTAAAATAAAATTAATATACGATTGCGATGCTGATATCTCGATCAGATGTTCGCTCTGGCGCTCAACGTTCGCGTTGAAATCAATTTCAAATTTAATGGTGCGTGTCCATCTGCGAGTAAAAACTCTCGAGAGTTTATGGCAAATGGAGAGTACCTTTAGGTACTCTGAGGAGTATGCCCATGTGCAAGAATCACTCACCATAAGTTAGGACACGTTATTAGGACGTGTGCTAATTAGAAATTTTTAATCGAGCAGATTTAATAATGAGCCCGAAATCGTTGGCAAGTTAACGATTGACGGATCGGCTCCGATCGGCCGGGCATCGTCTGATATTCGCTACGTTTTTCTACTGGCGCACAGTAGACGAGTCACGACTCGTGATTCACGAGTCTGACAGGTCTGACTTGACAATGAGACCTGTACAGCCGGTACTCCTGTATACAGTGTACAGTCGCAAGAAGACAAAAGTATTCTACGTGGTTGCATACAATTTTCCGTTTTCTCTCTTTTTTTATTACTTTAATAATCAATTATTCCAAGTACGTTAATATTTGAAAATCTGTATACGTTATTATCTAACTCTACAAAAACTATATAATAATAACGAAGCTACTGAAACTTAAGCGCCTTCATTTTCACGATGCAACCAAGCAAAAAGTTGCTCCCTTTATGAAGGAAAAAGAAAAGAAAAAAGAAAAAAGAGGGAGCAAGTTTTACGCTAGATCAATTTCCTTTAGCTGCGCTCTGTCCTGGCCCTCTCCTCGTAATCTATCATGTGTGCTGAGAAAGAAAGTCGGAAATCTGAGGGAAACGAAACGGGTTGCGAGCGAGCTGAGAGAAACGGGAGTGTTGTGCGCGCGAGACTGTGAGGTGCGAGATGCGAGATGCGAGGTGCAAGTCCCGGGTCCCGGGATGCGTACTCACGTGGGGTTCTCTCCGATGCAGCGTGGCGCGGTGCGTGGCGAGGCGAGGCGAGACGGCGGATGGTAACCACGTCGGTCGCGACGAGGCCGACCGGCCAGCCGGACGGACCGCCCGGCGGAACTGCTGCGACGCGCGAGTCGCGAGCAGTCGCGAGCAGTCGCGGGCAGTCGCGACGCTGCTCTCAACTCTCAACTCAAGTCTCAAATGCTCTCCAAGTGGTAGCTGGTAGCGACGGCGCATCGCGCCCCGGCGACGTTCGGCGACGTCCGACAACGTTCGGCTGTCGGTGTCGATGCCGCGCAGTCGCGCGGTCGCGCGCCACAACCACAACCGTGAACCGGCGCGGGCGCACGCTCGCGCCGTTTATCACTTATCACTTATCACTTATCACGCGGTTGAACCACTTGAACTGGCTCTTTCTCTTTGATGGCTTTCTTCTCCTCTTTTTCTTTCCATGAGAATGTTCTAACCGAGCGCGAGCGTGACGGTGGTTTGGTCGTTCCCAACCGCGGCAAAACGTGTCTCGGTAACGGCCGCGGCGTTGCGACATAGCGCACGCGAGATTCCGAGATTCGCTTCTTCCTCCGTCTCTCATTTTACTCCTCTTCCTCCAGCTTCTTCTCCACTTGCTGCGAGATAACGTGCCGCGCGCGTCAAATAACGTTCTCTAGTTCTCTCGTTTTCTCCTATCGAGACTCAAGAGACGGTGAGCCGGAGAAACAAGAGGAGACTTGACCACTGGACTGACTTGGAGACTGGGACTGGAGCAGAGCAGGGTGAGCTACAGCTGCTGACATCGCGCGGCGATCGCGCGAATGGCACCAGTGAGCAGAGCACTACTGCACTCTGCACTACTCACCGACCACTGTCGCGCGACAATCGGCGCGCGGCGCGCGGCGCGCTGAAAAAACGAACATATTACGATTATATCGTTTGTATATATACCTATATATATATATCTAACGCGTGTAGAAAGTTAATGGTTAATGGGGGCGAATTAATATCTCACGCATCCTCGACTAAGAAAAATTTCATATTATTTAATTTCACTCATATTCCACGATCACATTTAAAAAAAAAAGGAAAAAGAAAAAAAGGGCATCGTCAGTCCGTAAGCGGCGCTAACTTCAGGCATCGCACCGCACTATCGAGAGTATCGAGTATCGTAGCGGCAGACGTCGCAGGACTCGCAGGGCAGGTGATCGCACTGATCGCGGGCGGGCCGCGGGGCGATCGTGATTCGGCCTTCGCATAGTTCGCATAGTTGGACAGTTCGCATCGTTATTCATTCGCATAGATAAGTAGGCGATAGGCTACGATCTACGATCGCCACGACAGGTGAAAATAGGTGGGATTGGGATAAGGCGGATAAGGCATCGGGAATCGGAAATCGGAAATTGGAAAATCCGATAGTGACTGAGGAGTGAGTGGAGTGACAGTAGTGAGACGGTCAGTGGCGGTAAAAATTGCTGAAATTTCGTTTGTCACGCGTCAGAGATCAATAACGGTAGCTTAAGTTGTAACGTAGCGAATAGCGATTTAAGCGATTTCAAAGTTCATACGCTGGACGAATCGAACATCGGACTCGGACGGGATCGGGATCGGGCGAGATAATTAATCTAATAATTTTCGTGCGACGCGTTTTGTTCGTTACGTTCATCAACCAAGGTTATTCTTGCAGCCATATGTATGTATATATACTCCCCTTGTCCCCTTGCACGGTGAACAAGTTTCCTTTCTTTCATGTTATTCTCGCAAATCGGATCATTGCTAAATGAAATCGACGTACACCGTACACATGTGTCTGTAAAATAAAGAGCCATTGAGCGAGAGAAACTCGGTTTTTGAAAAAAGCTACCGGGCTACGATCGTGTGGCATGGTGGCAGTTGGCAGGTCGCTAATGTTGTGACAGTCAGAACCTAACCTGTTGACCTGTTGACCCGTCGAAAGTTCGGAAGCGTTTCCCGCGGGGAAAGCGAGGAAAGCTTGGCACAAGTGTACATACAAGGATCAAGGGTGTATAAGGGTGGACATATATTGTCGGTTGCTCATCGACGAAAATGAGCTCGCACCATCATCTGACGTCGTCGTCTGGCGAAATTAATCACATTCACGTTCTCTCCGAAGACATGGGATCGGTTTATCTCTCTGAGGAATATGCCGATGTGACCATAGTAGTGGCGGGTCAAAAGTTCCGTAGTCACAAGCTTATTCTTGCCGCGCGTAGCGAGTACTTCCGAGCTCTGTTGTTCGGCGGCATGAAGGAGTCCATGCAAAGTGAAATAGAGCTCAACGCTTCCTCGTTGCCTGCGTTCAAAGGCTTGCTCAAGTACATCTATACCGGACGCATGTCGCTTACTAACGAGCGAGATGAGGTACCTTGATAATATTATTATCATCTTTAGGAACCATACGTAGGATCGATTATCTGTGTTTCTTCTACTTTGATTCTCTTTGTTACAGGTCATTCTCGATATCCTTGCATTGGCGCATTTATATGGATTTATGGACTTGGAAGCAGCTATATCTGATTATCTCAGAGAGATATTGAGCATAAAGAATGTATGTTCAATCCTGGATACCGCATTTTTATACCACTTGGAGTTTCTGACTAACGTTAGTATTATATGCGCATCTTTACTCTCCTCTCTCTAAAGTCTGTCCGTAGCGTACCTTGTAACTTGTATGTATGATGTATGTATATAAAATTAAGATTAACACGTGATAATTTATTAATTAGCATGTGATTCGTTTTCAGGTTTGCTTTGAATATATGGACATACATGCATCCGAAGTCATACAACATGAGAGTTTTCAACAGTTGAGCTCATCCGCTCTAACTGAATTGATATCCAGAGATTCCTTCTGTGCGCCAGAAACAGAAATTTTTTCAGGTGTACGATCATGGGTCAATGCCAATTCCGATGTTAATCCAACCCAAGTGCTAGGTACGTTCCGAATACACGAATAACTACGCGCATTAAGCACGCTACTCCTTCGGAACTCGTGCATAAAATTATTTACGGACGAATAACTTTTACAGCTCAATTAAGATTGAGTCTAATTCCGTTATCGGATCTTCTGAGCACCGTAAGATCATCTCAGTTAGTATCGGCAGACGCTCTGTTGGATGCGATCGACGTACAGACGCACACGCCCGACTCAAAACTTCCCTATCGTGGCCATTTGCTCATCGACGAAAATGTTGCGCATCCGTCTCACGGTGCTCAAGTGTTACAAGGAGAAATGCGTAGCTTCCTACTTAATGGTGATACACACAACTATGATATGGAACGCGGTTACACTAGGCACACTATATCTGATACGGAAGAGCATGGGATTCTTATTAAATTAGGATCTCAGTATATTATAAATCATATAAAAATGTTACTATGGGATCTTGATTTGCGATCTTATTCTTATTATATAGAGGTACGGCCATTTTGCAGCAACAATATAATATTATATGATAGATATTAAGCATTAAACACACGCGCACACACACGCACGCACACGTATATGTTGCAGATAGATATATTTTCTCTTATTACTTTATGATATATTTTATTAAAGGGATCTATGAATCAAAAGGATTGGGTCATGCTTGTCAATCATAAACATTATTCTTGTCGCAGCTGGCAGTTTTTATATTTCGAGCCAAGGGTAGTACTTTATATTCGTATTGTAGGAACAAATAATACAGTAAATAAGGTGAGTTTTCTAAACTATACATACATTGCATACGTTCTCGCACGTGCACGCGCGCGTATATACATCTATCTATCTATCTATCTATATACGTACATATAAATGCATATACATATAACTATGAACAAAATAACGCGAAATGATTTAATAAATATTTAAATATAACAAATACACGTATAACGTATGAGGGTGTATAAATCTATTGTAACAATTCGATGTTGAAACTTACGTCGTTTTCATTCGATAGGTTTTTCATGTTGTCAATTTTGAAGCATACTACATGAATCATGCAGTGAAGCTTTCACAAGGCTTGATTGTACCCACAAAAAATATTGCCACTACCGAGCGAAGTGCGTGCGTTATTGAAGGTGTGAGTAGGTAAGTGAACGTTACTGTCTCTACTTAAAAATAATATCCAATATATACATAATATTGACAATTTTCAAGTTTCATTTTTTTTAATTAGGTCACGTAATAATTTATTGAATGGAGACACATCCACTTACGATTGGGACAGTGGTTATACGTGCCATCAACTCGGCTCTGGATCTATTCTAGTGCAATTAGGCCAGCCGTATATGATAGAATCCATGCGGTACACGTCCTGTTTGTGTGCTCTAACGTGCTATAACGTAACTGTATTTGTTTCTAACTGTTTTCGTATTTGTACAGATTACTACTTTGGGATTGCGACAATCGCTCCTACTCATATTACATAGAAGTATCGGGCAATGCCTGGAGTTGGGTATTGGTCGCTGATAAAACTAAGGAAGCTTGTCGGTCTTGGCAGACGATACACTTTTATCCGCCCCGTCCGGTAGTTTTTATAAAAATAGTGGGCACTCACAATACTGCAAATGAGGTACCTACCTAATCAGATCACGTGTCTCAATACATTTGTATGGAACGTACCAGGTAAAAATAATCTGGGTGTTTACAGGTGTTTCACTGCGTTCATTTTGAATGCCCAGCGCCAGTAGATGACAAATGTTCAAAATCGCCAACGCAAGAAGGACAAACGTCAACGTCATTAGATAGTAATACGTCCTTATCTTCTCCACCTCCACCACCATCACCACCTCCTCCTCCTCCTCTTCCTCCTCCTCCTCCTCTTCCCGAGGTAGCTACGGAAGCAGTTCATATCGATAGTGATGAATCGTAACTCGAAAAGTAAAACTGTCTGCATATGATGATGAAACACGAGTGACAGCTCTGTCGATCATCCTGTAGTTGCTGCTCTTGTTTGGCGATCTAGATGAATTTGACCGATTCGTCAAGTGACCTCAATGCAACTTTCAAGACTGTTCAATAATAATCATTCAATATAAGATTGTAATTAGTCATCTCGTTTTCTCGTTTACGAATTCTACTTTTATCATGCCGATTACTTTAAGTATAAGTGATACACGCAGCGGCTGCCAATTTTAATCAACAGTATAGCACGTAGCTACTTTTTTTAAACACAAATGTTTGTAATACGCGATGAAGATTTATTTTAGTATTTATTTTCACTTTCTAGTTTGGTATATATAAAGAATCTTATTTTTGTACGACCACCAAATGATTAATGTATCTAAAAGCGCATTACTATTTAACATAATACGTATCCCTTTTTTTTTATATGTAAAATTTTTGGTATTACATAAATCATATAATTGGTTTTTTGCTTTTTAAATGCTTTAATTATCAGTTACTACGAAGATCATAAAGTATGCCACATAAATGATATTAGGTAATATGTTAATTGTTAAATTAAAAAATTAAATGTTAATTATGTTACATTAAATATTAATTATATTTTATATCATATAATAATATTAAATATTAGATAATAATATATGAATATCTGTAAATATATTTAGGTACGCAATACTTAACTCTTACTACGTACTCGTAATCTTTGTCAATATCTTCTGCAATATGATGTACTAAACTAATTTATGAACACAAAAAGTATTAATTTATTAATATTGAGCGTACCGAAAAGTCAGAAACTTTCTATCAGTCGAATATATATGATTATAATTATGATGACAGAAAAATTAAGGATTTCCTATTTTCAGATATACTTTACGCTAAAACGTCATGATAAACGAAACGTGATAATAAATTGGCAGCTGCCATAAATTGTTTTGTATAGAAGCTATCTTTCAATTCTATGTTACCAAATATTTTATAAGCGCGCGATTATCTATAATATCAATACTCTGTTTAATATAATGGTGTCTGGTTTTACAGTATTTCTCATCGTACAAGTACCTTTTTTTTTAGTAGGAATTTTCAATACGATACGAATTTAACCTTGTGTGTGTGTGTGTATATATATATATATATATACACATATATAATTCATTATTTTTCTAGTCTATGTATATTGGATGTAGCGTGTCTCGAGAATTTGATTATAATAAATTATACGGAAAAATTCAGTTACGACGATCAATAAAATATTCCAATATTTTAGAACTCTTAGTGACTCATTTAACGTTATTTCAATCATCATTCGATTATTATTGGCTACTCACATTTTTATATCTGTTAAAAATGTCTTGTTAAAAATAAATAAAATTCATGTTAATTATGTATCTTATCTTCTAACGTACACACATTTATCTTTAAAATGTGATACTTGTCATGTTTTTCACATTAATTTTGCTAGTGGTAAACGAATTATAAATACTCGTGTATCTGCGAAACGAATTTTCTTTATGAGAGAATCCATCCGTCATCGATAGAAATTCATAAGAAATGTGGCGGATTGTGAAAAGAAAATGCAAAATATGTAAAAATATAAAAATATTTATCTTTATTCCTTGTTTACTCGGTGGGTCTTGGGCTTCTCTTTTTTCTTTCTTTTCTCGATCGAGGTAAGGTGCAAAATCTCGCGCCCGGAAGTCGTCGCGAACGGAAACTCGGGGTGGCGACAGTGGCGCCTGGCGGTGGTGGCGGCGATGACGACGAAGACGGGGAGTGGGGAATACGGGCACGGGGCAAGTAACAACGGGCGCCATTTTGTTCGCTCGTTGCGTCGCAATCGCAAGATTCGTAAGCGTAGGCCACAAACAGGCGAGGTTAGCGAGGTACAGCGGTACGCGATACTGACAGCGGGGACAGCGGTATAGCGTGCAGCGGAGAGATAGTCGTTCCGCCGGGGGAAAAAAGCCGTTTTCTAGCAAAGCCTTGGGACGCACTTGGTCCTTGCTCCTCTCTTCTTCTCCTCCTCCTCCTCCTCCACCTCCTCCATCCTCTTTCCTCTTTCACCCCCTTTTCCGCGTGTCTTTCTTTTCTCTTGTTCCTCGTCGAGCTGCGGTGCAAGCAGCAAGCAGCGTTGATGATTGGGATTCCGCGGGACGATCGACACAAAATCACGGTCAAGATCCGCAACAACATGAAGAGGAGCTCGAGTCGCGACACCCCGCCTCCTCGTGTCAAGCGGAGCCGATCTTCCATGGGACGGTAAGACGCTTGCGAAATGCGACAATGCGACACCGAGCTGACCGAGCGGGTCCGCGAAGGCCAGGGGAGCTCTCGTCTCGACTCTCGCTCTCGCTCTCGCTCGTCTCCCCCGATGGCAACTTCACGCGCATCTCCTCACTCTCCTCAGTCCTCGTCTGTCGTCGTTGATGTCAAACAAGTTGCGTTCAACACGCGACCTCCTGCGCCTTGTCTTCTTTTTTCCTCTTTTACTCTCCCCGCCCCCCTGCCCCCCTTGCTAGCTTCCGCTCGTCGAGATCGTTGATCTGCATTACGATGATGGTTGACATGTGATACGTAGCGTCGATGACGCGCGACGGATTCTCTTCTATTTTTTTTCCTTTTCTTTTCTTTTTCTTCTCCTTTTCCTTTTTGTGCGCGTATATGGGTGCAGGATGTGGTTGCGTTACATGTGCGGGCGTAGTCCGTCGAGTGGGCTGGAACCTAGAACTACCCTTCCGTCGCTACAGCTGGCGAAATGTTTATGCATCTATAGCGACATTTAACGCGTCTCCGGGAAACTTGACGATGGGAATTCTTGTGATTTCTCGGCGTTCGTTCAAGTTGTAACTTTCGCCGCGCGAGTATTTTACAGTGCCTTAATCTCGCTGCAGTTGTCGCAGATGTAACTTGGGATGTGGCATGTGGCACGTGGCACGTGGTTCATTGTTGCGTGTCTGTATACGTTATGCCTGTGCTATTAAAAGTTAATATGATCGTATGATTTCTAGGTACGATGACTCGAGCGACGAGCGTATCAGTCCGGAAAGGATTCGGCGGCGAAGCCGAGGTGCCAGGAGTCCGAGTCCGCCGACGAGGGCATCGTCTCACGCTCGCTACGTCGAGTCCAGCTCCCATCGCGACGAGTATCTACGGGCGTCGCGCGACGTGCCGCGAGAGAGACCCTACAGCTACAAGGTGCTCTGCGTCAGCTCCATCCATCCAAAGGCCAGCGACGAGGTGATTAAGGACACTCTCTACAGGGAGTACAAAAAGTTCGGCGAGTTCTCCATTCAGATCTCGCACGAGCCGGACGAGCGGGTCGCTTACGTGTGCTTCCGAAGTTCCGAGGACGCCCGGGACGCTAAACACGCGAAACCGCGCATCATCATGTACGACAAAATGGCCCTGGTTGAGCCGGTGTACGACCGACCCGAGACTTACCGTCGTCCGCGGTCGATTACGCCGCCGGAGTACGAGAGGTACTACCCACGGTCGCCGGGACCTACGGACCGACACAGACCGCTCGAGAGATACGAGCGGGTGTACGGGCCGCCAGTCGGCCTGCCTCCTCATCGCGAGATGCGCCGCGAGACCATCCCGCCGCCGCATCACGAGTTCGTCCGACCGCCCATACATCCCCACGGGCCGCCCCACGTTCACCCAGGCCCGCCCCATCACTACGGGCCGCCGCGACACATGATGATGCGCCATCCGGTCCATGGATTCGAGCGAGTGGAAAACAAGAAAGACAAGTTTCCCAATTATCTGCACCACGTGTCGCCGGAGGACGACCCTCTAGCGACCAGAACTCTATTCGCCGGTAATCTCGAGATCAATATCACGGAGGAGGAGCTGCGCCGTATTTTCAGCAAGTACGGCATCGTCGACGACATCGACATAAAGCGCCCACCGCCCGGCACCGGCAACGCGTACGCTTTCGTGCGCTTCCAAACCCTAGACATGGCTCATCGATGCAAGGTGGAGCTGTCGGGCCAATATATCGGCAAGTTTCAGTGTAAGATCGGCTACGGGAAAGCAACCCCGACCACCCGGATATGGGTGGGCGGCCTTGGCCCGTGGACCTCCGTACCCCAGCTCGAACGGGAGTTTGATCGGTTTGGCGCGATAAAGAAGATCGATTACATCAAGGGCGACAGTAACGCTTATATACTCTACGATTCGATCGACGCCGCGCAAGCAGCGGTCAAGGAGATGCGCGGTTTCCCTCTGGGCGGGCCGGATCGCCGGCTGCGAGTGGATTTTGCCGACGTGAGTCCCAACTTTGGCTTCAAACCTAGATCGTATCCCGAGGACAGCAGCGACTTCAGCAGACCACGCCCGGTCGACTACGAATCGCCGTATGATCCCTATGGGCCTGACGGCGAGTTTGGATACGGGGCGAGAAGCTTCCGCGGTGGCAGAGGTAATGCGCCGTGGCACGACAGGAGAGGAAGCGCCCGAGGTGGTTACAGAGGCTCCTATCCCGACGGCTACGTCCGCGACGAAGCCGACTGGCCCAGTAGAAGACCACCGCCCGAATTGGAGTACGAGACTCCACGTGGTCTGAGAAGATCGCTCTCGCGCGAACCTGGAGTCGACAGATCGAGATCACGCTCGCCGCGCCGACGGCAGATGGCAGACTCGGACTCCGATTCGGAGAACGCCCGCACCGGAATGCTGTCGACGTCCCGCACGCTTCCAGACGTCGCGCGCAAATCGATCGCGGTTTGGCAAGGCGCCTTGATCCTAAAGAACTCGCTGTTCCCAGCCAAATTCCACCTGACCGATGGCGAGACGGAGATAATCGATTCTCTGATGAAGGACGAGGAGGGTAAGCATATGTTGCGCATTACGCAGCGGCTGCGTCTCGACCAGCCCAAGCTGGACGACGTATCTAAACGGATCCAAACGTCGAGCTCGCACGCCATCTTCCTCGGCTTAGCTGGCTCGAGTACCGCGATCACCAGTGACGACGCTAATGTGCAAACGCGGCCGCTGCGAAACCTCGTCTCCTATCTGAAGCAGAAAGAGGCTGCCGGTGTCATATCGTTGGTGAACAAGGACACGGAAGGCACTGGCGTGCTCTACGCCTTCCCACCCTGTGCATTCTCGACGGAACTTTTGAAACGCACGTGTCCTAGTTTAAGCGAAGAGAGTCTTAAAGAGGACCACTTGGTGATCGTAGTGGTCAAGGGAGGTAGCGCCTAAGAAAACCTTAGTATCGTATCTTGTGTCCGTATTTTCATATCGTAAGTGCGAAGATTCTTCAACGTGCAACTCCCTTTAGGGTCTTTTCCATTCTGATCATTTGGCAAGGAAATATTTTTCTCAAAATGGATTAAACGAGAAGCACGACATAAACTGCGAGATGAGGAAAAATTTTTAATTTTTTTCGTTGAAAATGTTTAGCGCCGCAAATATGTAAATTTTGGAAATTGTGCTGCACGCGGTCCAGAATCTAGAGATTTGTGGCGGTAAGTATTTTATGTGGAAGAGAGAAACTGAAAATTTTTCCTCCTTTCATTTTTTTTTTTTACGTCAAATTATATAAATGAATAATTATATTGTTAATGTTTAAGTATTGTACATTTCGCTTAGTCCATTTTCGAGAATACTACAATACTTTCTCGCCAAATGATCATGGTGGGAAAGTCTCTCAAACTGCTGAACAATGTACAGAACTTGTGAGAAGAAGAACTTGTGTTTTTTGATCGATGTAAGTATTTCGTTTTCTACTGGCTTCCAGATATGAATTAATCTCATGATTATAGACAGAATCGTAATGGTGCTTTGATACTTTTTCTTTTCTTTTTTCTTTCTTTTTTTTTTATACGAATGTACATTGCATCGACATGAGAATGTCGAGTGCATTAACGTTATATCCTACAATCAGACATGCGATAAGAACTGGTAATGCCTGATGGCAGATTTGAGTTTACCGATCTAAATAGATTTACACGAGAGATTGTGTGAATCTCTACATGCACACGTAAATTCGAACGTAGGTCGAAATTAGGCAATGCGAGGTTTTATTGCGCATTATTATGAATATTTGATCCTTGTATTGTACAGTTGTTAAACTTAATGATAGACGAGGGTGATTGTGAAATATTACTGAGAGATATCGCGCTCTCTGTATCTCTTGATACGGTAATCTTGATTTGTGATATATTTTTCCAGAATTATGACTACTTCTCCATAAATGCACATCATCGACGTTACTGCTAATTCTGAGAGATTAGAGTACTTATTTTCTATCAAAAAACACAACTTTGATACCGTTCCCTAGTTAGAGATTTTCATCAGGTAGCCGCGATTACCAAACGGTAAAGTTTCCATCAGCAAGATCGTTAATGACCATACTGAATATTATTGCAGATATTGTGTAGTTCTCATTATCGCAAGTGATGCTATATAATTACTTTAAGGTGTAGTATAAGAATTTATTTGTATTATATACATATACATACATTATCGACTATACGTACATATTAGTAATATTGTGCACAGTTCTTTCACATTTGCAGACATGCATATAATTATATATTAATCTAATTGATTTTATTTCTTGGCCAAATGCAAAATGAATGTCTTCTTGAGACATATATGTGTGTGTGTGTTGTGTGTGTGTGCGTGTGTATGTGCACGTAAAAATAGTTAAACACGCGGTGAATATTCCGCTTTAAAATTACGAAAAGAATTTCTTTATATAATTCTAGATTTCAAAAATATCAAATCTTGGACATTTATATGTTTTAATTGCTATATATATATATATATATACATACTTATTTCAAAGCTATATATACTTATAAATTATACTTTGCTAAAGAGGATCGTTTAAAAGTAGAGTCCTTTGAAGTCAATGCCAGACACATCGCGTATCTGACCGTGCTGTAATGATATGAGAACACACATATAAGTCGCGAAAACAATTTTCATAAAACCGTAATGGCAAAAAAAATGTGAAAGGCCTGGGTTAGAGTATATTTGATATGGAAAATTTATATAATTAACCGTTTTACGACTTATTTCTGTAGATTTCTTTTGTGTGGCATAACATTTAAGTGATTGTGCAGTAAGTAAAATCCGTGAATGTAGTTACAAGTTTATAAAGTTTGGACTGTGCCCAAGAGTGAAGACAGTGAGGGAAAAAAAAAGCAAATCCAGGAAGAGACAGAAATCTGTTTATCGCAAAATAAAGTTTGTCGTATCTGTGTTTTCGTAATGCCAACAGCAGTTTGCCTCTTTTTCAGTGAGGACTGGTTGGTTTCTCCTAAAGGACAGTGTTTGGTGGCGTTAACAAAAAATGAGCTCTGAGCATGTGTCTAGTGAAATGTAAAGAAAAGGAAAAGTGATTGTGCTCCGCATTCCGGTATGGAGGAGAACACCCGAACGCGGTGTGCCTGAAGGGGATATTTTTATATTCCTTTCAGACATCGCGGGAGGGTGAAAGGGGGAGGAGGTGTCTCTCTGCCATACTCGAATGCGATTGAAGGTGCAGTGGTTAAGTATATTTAGTGTTTGAACGGAAAACAAAATAGATGCAGTTTATGTAGAGAGAAAAAAATTACATGTGTCAATTTTCTTGGTACCGTTCTTCACCTATCAAATACGAAAATTCTCGGGACGTCGTTCGGATAATGTTAAATGTTGTACAGTGATACGCGCGATTCTACGATGAATGCTCCTACATTTGCGATGTGGGATCCGAGGAACGTAATATTATAAAAAGAAGAAAAAGGGCTTTTTATCAGACAGATTAGGGCCAATAAAATAATCGGACGTTCACGTTGAGTCGATTAAACTCCTCGATTGTAAGATGCATGCATGTGCCTGAAAAATCAATTAGACTGCTTTCGATCTTGACGAATTTCGAGTTTTGTATATAAAATTCCATTTTTTGCTCTCGTTCAGTGAAGTTTACCGTGCAACAATACATGGTGCTGTGATATCGATCGTTCAGCAATGACAATCTGGGCGGGGGTGGGAAAACGATCAAAAAACGCGACTATGTAGTGTAGGTCGTTAACGTTCAAGTGTTTGTGTTGGTTAACAATCATTTTTTCACGTTCTCGCGCGGGAGAGCAGGCTGTCAGCTGTTCATTCTCATCTCATATACATTCTCGCCCGCGTATGAGAGGATACATATATATGCCACACCACACGCGCACACTCTAGAGATGACCGTTGTGATATTTTGTGTTTTCTGTGAATTCTTTTGTGGATTTTCCCAGAGGGAGAAGTAGATGAGGTCGCGAGTTAACTTTCTGAACGCGTCGATTGTCGAAATTATTCGTACGGAGGGCGAAAAGATATAAGAATCGCCTGCGACGTATCGAGTAACAAAATTGTGCATCTGGATGTAGTATCGCGGAAGGGAGAACTGTAAGGAAGGGAAGAATAAGAACTGTAGGAAATAAAAGACAGTGGTTTGACGGGCGAGAGTTTGAAAAGAGAATCTGAATCTTCTCTCGATTCTGTGTGCGGGGCAAGTCAAAGTGAGTTCTATCAGTGGTTCACTCCCGGTTCCGATATTCGTCAAGTGTTGTGTTGCCCTTCGCCCAGCGTCGCGAGTCGCGACGCCGCGCCGCGCGGCATGGATTGACCGGCCACCTCACGGTTGAGCTTCGTTCTGTGTAAAAAAAAAAATAGAACAAAGAAATTGTATAAATCTGTTTCAGAATCCAATCGACCCAATCCGCCCACGGAATGGAAGGCAGATATTCGCTCGCGCGATCGGAGATCATCTCTATTGTTTAATCCACTGTATCCAGATTTGAGCAGAAAAAAAAAGAAAAAGAAAGGAATAAATCGCAGACCTAAGATAATTTCATGCCAGTCTTCCTAGTTTCTCACACAGGTGTTACGCGTGATCGGCGTGACTCGTAAACTTATTCGTCGCAACTTTTATCGTCGTGCAAACGTCTTCCGTTGACGCCGAAACGAAGCGAGATAACCTAACAGGTAACTTAGACTTAGAGGTTAAGCGCGAATACGAATTACGAAGATGAGTGATGATCGACGCGCGAACGTACAATTTCTACATATGTATTTTAATCATGGTGGATTCCACCGATTTCATGTTAAATATTGTCCTTTATTAACAAAAACAAAGATGTATGTGGGAGAGGGAGGAACAGAACGAAACGACTTGTCACTTGACGGGGTCGGGGGACGGGGATAAGCAGTCGATACTCGAATCTCGATAAGTACAACTCGATACCAGTCGATAAGCCGAGACAGAATTCACAGATTATACAAAAATTAGCGTTGTTTCTGTTAAAAGTGAGAGAAACGCGGATGTTTTTTTTCTTAAAGAAGAATATACAGGTATATTTGTTTTTGTGGCGGCTTTCGTCTTCGCCGTCGTCCTCGGAAATCGAACGCGCTCCGAGTCAGTCCGGGTGCAAGTGGTGCAACTCAAGAGGATATAGAGTGCGCAAGACGCGCGTTCGGCGCGAATACGCTTCAGCGACCGGCGCGTTGTAACGCGATGAAAAAAATTGAGAAACGAGTTGAAATTGAAGATCTAGGGCGATCTCGACCGCGACGATATTTCTATCAACTTGTTCGGTGTCAACCGACTTCTACTTGATTGCTCAAAGCCGCCATTTCCATAAATCTGCCATTTGGACTTTTTAAATTTCGATTTGCACGCTCAACAAACTCAAAAACTCCCATGTATTAAAATTCAGATCATGCTTATGCAGATAATAAAAATAAAGGATTAAACAGTCAAGAATTAATAATTCTATACGTCATATCAAAACAGGACAAGTTGCTTGATTAGTTATTATTATATATATATTACTTATCAGTTAATATTATATATCATCATTGAAAAATTAATTATAAGTTAATTGTCGATCGAGATTGGCTTAAACTTTAAACTTAAACGATCGTCTCGAAATTGATCACCGCCGCAGCATTCTCTTGCTCGCAGCTCCCATACGGAGAACGGATCCTGCTGTACATTTCACAAAAGGAGACAGAGACGACACTTTCATTTCAGACATCATATTGGATAGTGTGTGTATGTGTATATATGTATATATATATACACACACACATATCATTTTTCATTTCCACAACTTTTCGTAGACAAAAATTAACCGTCGCCAAATCATGTGATTGAGAGAGACAATCGATGCTTTACTTATAAAAATAAGGGAAAAAGAAAAGGAAAGGATCGCTTTCGTCTTAATGATAACGGCGTAATCACTATCGGTAACAGGAAGAGACGTTGAACGTGTAAATCGGGATATCACGTGTGCGCGAGGGAGAAAAATTATATGTGCACGTTATGCGCGGCCGCTGCCGTTTTTTTTTTTCTTTTTTTTTTACCATCATACATGTAACAAAAATACACACTTTCAGGCAAACCTGCTTTGAACATTGATCGTGCGTTGTTGCAAAAGATTATTCGAGAAGAGTAAAGCTAATTGGCTGATTCCCTTTCGTTTGCGATCGTTACCGCCTGTCCGACATTACGTGCGCATCGCGAATATCGGATATTTCTGATGCGTATGTCTCTGTCTATGTGTGTGTGTCTTTTTTGAAACTTATATCGCTAATCTGAACGTAACTACGTTGGACAACAAATAAATGTCCCGAACAAAATTATGAACGGTTCCCCGTTATCGCGTATTCGGTTGTCCTCGGAAGGACGTTGTTCCAGACTTGCGAGAGTGCTCCGGCCTTTCTTGCTTTAAACGAAGAGCTTTAATTAGAGAGCAAAGTGTTAGCGATACGTTGACAGTTTACCAGCAGATTCCAGCAGAATCTGTCATCTCATAACTATTTAAATGTGTCATTCAAATGATTACGAAGTCAATCTGATGCCATCATATTCCGTTAGCAGATTTTATCACATCGCCGCTGGCACTCTGTAATCAACAAAATTTGTTTTTCGATCTGACACTATATGGGCACGAATAGATTTAATATCTCTTCAAGGATGGATTCTTTTCAAGAGATTTCACTTTTTAGTTATATTTGATTCATTTAATTTAAATCCATAGCAATTTTGTGTGTGTGTGTGTGCGTGTGAATAAAGAAAAGCATGAAAAAAATTGAAAATACTGTGGTGAATATTGTTCGCTTTTTTCTTTTATCAATAATAATAAAATTTAAAAAGAACTGGACGTATGGCACACGTGTGCCAGTGTTCCTAAAAAGAATATGGAAAAAGTCAACTTCGCTCGACGAATTCATAAATAAAAAGCAACGAACGTGCTGGACACTCAGTATCTATAATTAATTCAAACGTCGGCAGGGAACAAAAGCACAACATGTAACTTCGTTAGTGAAGACGTTACGCATGTATGTAAAGTGTAGTTATGTTAATTAATTATGTAAAAATTGTCAGTCTCCTCGGAGTGTTGAATATGGAAGGCCGTGTTTGGTTCGAAGATAAATCCCTTACGAGGATAAACCCCTCAAGGATATTATGCTCGCATTTGTTCCTTCTTCTTCTTCTTCTTCGAGCGTTCTTCGTTTTCCAAAAATACAGACACCGATAATTGAAATATGACAAAGACGACGCAACGCGACGCGACGGTCGATCAACGTTCGGCTCGCATTTCCTTGGTTAAACGACGTAACATGTATATATATGTCTTGACACTCTGCTTTTGTTGATGCGACCGCTACAAGTTTTCTAGAGATTTCACGGTAACGCTCTAACGCGCAGTTCTCATAATCTGCATACTAAAGTGGAATTTAATCTCACACGGTAAATTTCGGTCGGCCTCTATTCTTTTTCATCGCTTTATACATATACAACGTCGAATATGTCTCTTTCGCCTTTTCGTTCTCTCCACGTTCTCTCAATTCCTACTCGCTCGAATTATCTAGTATATAATAGACGAATATATCTACATCTAGTCTCATGCTAACTCATAAACAAAACTATATCGTCTCATGTACATATTTGTATTATATGTATACATATATGTGGGTGTGTTTGTGTGTGTGTGGGTGTTGGGTGTTTTATCAGTCACAAAGTCGTCGAAACCAAGCCTGAGGGTAATTTGATTCGATACTACGATTGTTTAAAGATTCAGTCGTAGCGTTATTACGGGCGCGTCGCGTATTACACCCGTATTACACGCAAAAGGAGCTTAAAATTGTAACATTACCATTAAGCAAGTATAAGTAACAAGAGCGCGCTGAAACTTCTTTTTTTTCTTTTTAAGTATTATCGCAGGATCGGATTGAGAGAGAAAGAGAAAGAGAGCTCGATCGAAACTGATCGGTTTCCTCGACGATCTTGCTTTTTCAAACGGAACAAGAAATTGTTCCGAATATTGAGTCGTAGACTCTGATATGTTTCACAAGCTGCATCATAAAATTCTTACTAAACGGCCTCTGTGAAGGACCCGTCAAAAGGTTGATTCTTGTCACCACGGTAAAATGCTATATCCTAAACGCGAATTTATCGCTTTTTATATTTGTGTTATGTTCTATTCCGAGATACTTGGACTAAAAAGACTGGATGATGGAAGATCAGTTTCTCACGTCTCTCACAATCAGTTGTTCAGCGCGGCTCTTGCGAATCCGAGGAAAGCTTCTCTCTGTGAGCACCGTGTTTCTTAGAACGGGTAAATCCGCATCGTCGCCGCATCATCCGCGACTGTTGCTTGTTCCGCCTCTTGCGACAGAAAGGGAGGATAGCTGAGGAGGAGCGACGGGCGAGAGCCGTTCGTGGAAAGAGAGCTCCGACTCCAAAGTCCAAGGGAACGTCGGCTGCTAATATCCTTTGCCTTCCGGTAGAATCTCCATCCGAGAGACATCTCGCTTCTCCTCGCGCGCGCCTCTAGGCAGCCCCAGCCCCAAAACGTCGCGAATTACTTAGTAGACCATTCGATGAGGATACTGGTAGCTTCGCGGTTGGGAGCTTAACCGCAGCTGAGCGGCCGAGTACGGATCGTAGCTCTGAAAGTGCAAAAAAAGAAGGCGTTTTTCGACCATTTTCTTTCGTCTAACTTGAATTTCTTCTTTGTGCAAGCCCTCGTCGAGTTTAATTCACCTGCGTTCGCTTCTTGGACACCATAAACCTCTTCTGGGGATAGTACGCGGCACGTTGAGGATAAAGGAAATCGTATTGCGGATTAACATGATTGCCGTATTGCGCGGGGTCTTCGTACTGCTCCAATTGCTTTCCGTATTGCTCGTAATAGCTCGGCGGGTGAGTCCGGACTATTCCGATGTCGGAGGGCGACAATGTGTCGTAGTGCCGCGAGGGATACACCGGCGTCAGCCACGGGAGAGCTAAAAAAGGATACAGAACTGACGAAAAGACAGATATTATCCTCGCTAAAGAAATTATCATTGTTATCCTTTGATTGTTTTTATTTTCGTGCAGCTGAGTTAATCGTACGTATAGAATCGGAGAGTCATCAACACGAACCGTTTCTACCGTCTTCCTCGTCAAGGAAATCGCCGTCGTCAATCTCGTACTCCTCGTTAGGGTATTTGCGCCAGTTTCTGTTGGTGGAATAAAAGTTGAATCGCTGTATTTATAGCGTGTATTTAATATTTATAAAGATGTAATGAATTTTAAAGAAATGTCGCCGATCATTACCCGTTACGCTGTTCGTTCTCCCACAGTGACAAGAGAGTCAACATGTCGTTAGGGTTGATATCCAGAGACAGCTCTCGCTTATATCGCGGTTCCTGATAGAACGGGACGCTGAAAATTCAAGCAAAGCAAAGTTAGTCCTGTAAGTACCTGTTTCATAAGACAACGTTTCAGCAGGTCTTCTTTCGAGGACTCGCAGGGAATTAAAAAAAAATAGTTGCGTACTATTATTCGCGGTTCAATCAGTCATGAGTCACTTTAGTGACCCATCGCGATAATGCTAAACAGGTGTGTGTCTCGAGGAGAAACGACGATCCAATCTCGCGCTCGCGGGTACAAAAATTGTCGTCGTTTTACCCCGCGCGACCGCAACGTACGAATACACGCTTATCGTCTCGCAATCTCATTTCGGAATCGCTTCGTGAATTCGTATTACTCCCGTTGTTTGCGCGACATTTATATTTCAAGATTGATCGATGTTTATCCGTGACGCAAAAGCGACTGACGACAATCACCAACGACTCGTCTCCCATCGAGACCGCACGAGACATCCGCGCGCGCGCTATTGTTCTCCAAAGAGGCACGAACAGCGAACAGTATGTGCGCTTTATCTCGCTGTCCTTTGTATGCGCCTGTGCGCGAGTCTCGCGATAGCTGCATTCAAACGTACTCGATACACAACAGCACGAGTACGGGGACAATACCGCACCTCGATCGTGCGAAACGATTGCGGCGACGATTGTCGTCGTCTGTCATCGATTAACGCGGAAAGACTCACCCCGTACCTCGTACGTTGTACGTCCAATAGTTGTTGTACACATATTTGCAATAGATTGATAGAACGATCGATAATGATGAAATGATGCCTGGTTGAGGCAGCGCTGACGCTCATCGACCGCGAGGTTGACTATAATGGCCATGTGCCAAAAACTCACAGTAGAATTACTTTCATTCAGCTTTTTTTTCAGTGTTTACATAACAGCGCGTAAGAAAAGGACTTTAACAAGGCCCTTCGAGTCAAGGCGCCAAGGCTGACCAGTTGACCACCCCCGCTGGATCTTGCTACTGCAATTTGTGCGTTTCTAATTCTATTCTTAAGCTCAGCGCTCAGCTTACTTAAACAGCCACGTCGCGCGACAAAATTCTATTTTATGAGTATTATACACGCATTTTGTAAACAATAAAAAATTCTATTGATACAATTCTGAATGTCGCGAAATATTTTTCCAGGGGAAAATGAATTTAAAGTTACGCTGCAGGGTAAAATTTAACGGAAGAACGCCTCGGAACACTTTTGTATCCTTGACGTTAGTTTTTTGGGACGCGATGTATATAGTTCTTCTAATCGATTAATCTATTTCATTACGTCGGGGTTTCCTCTATCGATCTGCATTCGACGGGACGCTTCCATTCAAGTTTTCAAAACGAGGACAGGGCTGTTGTCTAATGCGTCAGCGGATTATTATTATACCGTTGCGTCGCGCGTCGCGCGTCGGCGGAAGGATGGTGCGGATACTCAGCTCATCCTGTCTCTCGCAGCCGGAAGTATCGTCGATAAATCCACGGGTCATGCTTGTCAGCTGATTGGTCGGAAATACGGCCGAACAATCAAGCTCTGACCTAGTTTCGTCATCCCGGCTCCATTCAGCTTTTCGTGGGACCGCTCTCTCCCGCGGATACTCAACCACCACCACCGCCACTACCACCTGCGTCACGCGTATCGAGCGATTCGTGCACTGCACCAAATTCTCCTTCGTGTGCGGCCACGTCCGTGTTCCACAATGCTGTACAATGCACAAGCGGATGCATATTCGCCTAAATCCATCCAGCATAATTCAATCCCTTTCTCTCCGCGAGAATATTGGAGGAATTTTTTTTTCCAAGTTCCGATGAAGCCACATCGAAGATCTACAATCTTAATTCCGACTCTAATTTCTTTATCAATTTTCGAGAGACTTGTACTTTTTAAAATGTCGATATAATGACGAACGAGGAAAATAAGTTTCTTGCGAGCTAAGCGCTTATATGTAATCGTCTTTAATTGATTCAGCTTTTTCAAAATTTTAACTTAATTTGATGTTAGATGTAGTTATATTGTGAGGACCAGAGCAAATCGTAATAAAACGATTTTCTTCGGCATTGCGCAACGCTCGTGCCGTTCTTTTTCATGAAAATGCATTTAAAATGCTTTTAACGGCGAGTGCTTCTATTATTATAGCGCTTGCGTCTAACAATAAGGATAATACGCATTATATATATATAATCGCGTTTACTATAATGGAAACGGTTATCGCGTTATAAGAATTTCATCGAGGAAAAATTAATCGTTATCGTGTCCGGCGAAATGACCTGTGACATTTGCGACGGTCAGGCGATGCATTCTCGTACATTTTTCGTGTAAAAATAACGGGCCGCGATGGCGACGGCTGATGTTAACTTTGAGAGACGAAGATAATGTCTACTCGACGGGAGTCCTATGTGCGTGGGTTTAATTTTAAACATCGGCCTTAGACAATTCCGTACGAAGCACTTCGATATCGAGTGCTCGCGTGTTGACGCGATTTCCTGAAATTAGATTTGGTGCTCGATAAATCTGCATCACCCTCATCGGGAAAGCGTATTTTTATCTCGCACCGTCGCGTCGGGGCGTCGCATGATCGCGAACCGACGAACGTAACGTCGCGTTATTGATATTAAACATCGTGACCGTCGTGACGTTTTATTCGTTTCGTTCGTTTTTATGGGTGGGATGTGAAAAATAAAACACGTCAAAGTATGCAACAAAGGTCATCAGTTAATTCCTATGTCTCAATCATCGGATGACTTCCGTCCTTCACGAACCGCTTCAAAAAAGAAATATTAACGTTGGCTAATCGGTTCGTTGAGAGTCACCCGATGCGATCAATATGAATATCAATGTGAAACTTTCGATAATTTCATTCGGCTACATTTTTACATAATACCAAAATCGAGAATACGCTACTGATATGCTCTTCGATGACGCAGTCTCTCTCTCTTTCTCTCTCTCTCTCTCTCTCTCTCTCTCTCTCTCTCTCTCTCTCTCTCTCTCTCTC